TGATAATACTATGTTTTGTTGTAAATTCTTCTGACATATTGGCTGTTAATACGAACAAAAAGTTGGACAATCGTATTTGTTTTCTTTTTGTGGGAAATGACAACTACTGCATTTCCTGAATTATGATACTTTTACAAAGCCTTATATGCCTATCATGTTTGTAATTGTCATTAATTAAGACCATCCATTTTACACTGTGTAGCGGTTGCGGATTTACCAGCAGAAATGTGAATCTTTTGAAACAGCAATCCACCCTTACACATCTTCCCCGTATGCTTGGGACGAACCCTGTTATCCTCGTCGTCTTATTGTTGAGGTACGGTGGTTCATACCCAAATTCACTAACCAGTTTGGGGGATAAATCTCTGTGATATTTTTTCAGGTACCAGGTGAACGTATCTTAGGATCATATGCTATTGATGATGCATCAGTTCATTCACTTGTGTATCTATCTGCAACTTCAGAGGTACTACTTCATTTTTTTTGTCCTCATAATAAATATCACACCGCCTCAAAGAGATTTCAGCTTTCATCTTGGTATTTTTCTTTTCTCTCACGACAGTAGTCAATAGTTATATGTACCTTTATGTTCTTGAATTGTTACATTATTAAGAAGACAGTCTAATCATTTTGAAAGAATAGTTTGGAACATAAAAGTCCACTCGTATTCAATAATGCAATTAAAAATAAGCATGATTATGCTGTTCTGTTTAACTAATTAATAATTGTGAGTAGTCATATTGGTATCACAAAAACTCATGACAATTGGCATATAAAAGATAGGGGACAGATTTATTCTCCATTTACCCAATGAGTATTTGAAGCTTTAAGCACACCTCTTCTTGCGAAATGTATGACTTTTGCTATACGGAAAATTTGGTGTCCTAGGTTTCTAGTAATTATTTTCAATTTTTTCTCTCTCCTGAAGGTTTTGAATTTAAAAACCTTTGTTCTGTTGAATTAGAGCCGACACCCTAACTGTTGGGTTAGCTTCCATGTTTGAAACTTTTTTATTGGGTATGGAATGATGCCTTCCACTGTGCATATATTAGCCAATCAAAAAGTGTCTGTGGGTACATAAATAATTCTAATATGAATAAGTTGTTTGAGTTAAGAAGAAAATGAATCGGATTGAAGATCAATTATATGTGATTCCACAACGACAGTGGGAGACAAGTTTGTGTCATTTATACGTAGGTGAAAAAACAAAATAATAGCTGCTTGAGTTAAGTATTCTGGAAAACAAATATGAATTTTGAAGTAGTTATTACTTATTAGCATGCCACGTTCTTGCTTTTTATCTCCAATCTCATGGGCCTAGGGCATATCAGATCCTGCTAAAAGATTTATTTTGGTAGCCTAATTGAATGCGTAATGGGGACAGTCCTGGGTTCTGGAAGAAGGAAATACAGATGTCCCCATGTCCATGTAGTGGAACGGTATCCAAGATGCCAATATTGGCCGGTGGGTGTTAATTTGAAGTATTCTATAAATGGGTATAATGTGCTTCTGTAGCGACTTAAGATGAGTGCCAAGAAGTTACTGTTGGAGGGAATTTTCCACTTTTACCCCTTTTTAGTCCGTAACATGAAAACTCGGTGTCAAATGTGATTCCGACGTCCACTATGTGCTTCACAACCAATTTTGTTTTTTGCATATTTGTTTTGAGTACAGAGATCTTATTTTCTTTCATAAACTAACATCTGTGCCTTCTAATTTTCTTTCCAGAAACCTGAAAGAAATTTGCTTATTTCTGTACATTCTGAAGGAGCAATTAAGGTGTGTGTCAAATAATGTGATAAGAATACCAATTATTGCTGAGATTTTAGTAATAACTTTATGTATTTGTTTAAACAGGTTCTCAGTATTATCGATTCAAGTTACCATGTTTTGAATGATCTGAAGAGCCTTCATGTCCCTCAGTTGAAAGATAAAGGAAAACAAACTCAGAAGTATGAATCTTTTATTAATTACAAGGAAAGGTTTTCAGTTGAGATTCCATTTCTGGGAGTTTCTTTGATGAATTCTCGTCCTGAGGTATCCTGTCATGAAAATTATTACTCTTCAATTTCGTTACGATTTCTGTTTTCACACGTGTACCGATTATTATTTTAAAATGACTGCGGCTGTTTTGTTTTGTAGGAGTTGCTCTTTGCATGTGCTAAGCACATGAAGATTAACTTTGTGCAGAGCTTGGATCAGCAACAGTTCTCCCTACAAATTGCATCTTTACAAATCGATAACCAATTACGTACAACACCATATCCTGTAATCCTGTCCTTCAACCGTGGAAACAAGGGCATTGATAGTGCACTCATCAGTAGAAGTATGACTCAAATATCTTCTTCAAACATGTATGAACCAGTATTCTCCTTAGCTGTCGCCAAGTGGAGAAACAGTGATAGATCACTGGTTTCTTTTGAATCTATTATACTAAGGTCCGTAATATTTTTAAATAGTACATCCGGACTTCATTTGTCCATCTCAGAGTTGATGAATTCCCCCCTCCTATTGCAGAATAGCAGATTTTCATCTTGAGATTGAGCAAGAAATTGTGTTGAGGTTGTTTGAATTTTGCAAAACTACATCTTCAAGGTTACAGAGCAGAGGTTTTCAGCGTGTGGATTCCACATCGAATTTACTGTTTCCTGAGTCAGATTTTACTGATTTTACACTGCTTAATGACGATCAAAAAAGAAGCTTTTTGCTACCCCAAATGGTCCCAATTGGAGCTCCTTGGCAGCAAATTGAACTTGCCACAAGAAAGCAGAATAAAATATATGTTGAGTCGCTTGATATGGGGACAATCAAACTGACTTTGAGGTTAGCAGCTCCCTACGCCACCCTGCAGTTTTTATTGATCTCATAAATAAATTCCTTAATGCATAATGATATTTCACTTGCAGCTTTTCTAGCAGTCCATGGATCCTCAGAAATGGTGTTCTTACATCGGGAGAATCTCTTATTCATGTAAGTGCAGAACTTTGAAGCAAAGTGAAGAATAATCTTTACACCGTGTCCGTGTGGATTACAGAACAATACTGCCCTATGTTTGAAATGACGATTCAGATATGCAAACAAATATTTTGAAACTTGTTATTTGCTAATCACGTCTATATTGAATTTCTTGTGTACTATTCATTTCCAATGACTTATTATGTCAATTATTGTAGAGAGGTCTTATGGCTCTTGCGGATGTTGAGGGAGCCAAAATTAATTTCAAGCAGTTGCTTCTATCACACCAGATAGCCAGCTGGGAATCCATTCAAGAGATCCTTGTTAGCCATTACACTCGACAATTTCTACATGAAATGTACAAGGTAATTGTGTTGACTTTTTTTCGGTGGTCCTTGTAGGTTTACATTTTACTTGCACTATGCTTTTTACTCTGACACTTTACCTAGTGAGAACTTGACTTCACATAACTCTGAAAGATAAACTTTTTAAAGTAACCCATCGTTTCTGATTTATAAAGAAACATTGAAAATAAATCTTTCTTGCAATAAGTGCACCACAACCTATCCCTGTAATCACTGTTCTTACCGTTGGTGAGATGAACAGTCAATCTAATGACATCAGAAATTGGTTAATTTTCTCCTTTAAAGACTGAGGTTTAAATTTTTAGAAATAAGACTTATAATCCCTAATTAGTATCTGGTTCCATCTCATAAATTAACAAAATATATTATGCTTCTCATTTGATTTTGAACATGCACATGAATTACTTATATATAAAAACCTACGGAGTTACAAAGAAAGAAAACTGTCCCATCATTTATGGCCTATCCTAATTAAATCGGTCCAGTTCTAGGAAATACAAATAAGTTCTAAATGTTACCTAACCAAAACACGTTTTGCGTGCTATGCACGTTCTAGGTGCCTCGTCTCATATGAATTTATGAAAAACTAAAATACGGATGAAGAAATGCCTAATGTATGTGATGTGATTGGGATCACAGCACATCAGTATGGATATTAATGTGAAAAATATCTATAGATATTTTAAGAACATAAAAACGGCGTAAATTGACTCAATGGAACTACTCCATAGAAGAAATGTATCGTCTATATGAATGAGATGTATCAACTCTTAAGCAAGAAGCATAAACACACAAAGAGGTCATATAAAGTATGTTACGATATCAATAAATAGAGTAAAGAAATAAAGACACCAATATTGATGTTCTAGATTCACATAGTAGGTCGAAGTAAAGGACAGATCTCCATACTTTTTTTTAGAGAAGATCTCCATATTCAGGATCATGTGTTTAATTGCATGTGCAGTTTCAGTAACATTTTATTGCATGATTAGTTTTATATTCTTGACAAAGTACTACATGGAAAATCAGTTCACCTATGTGGTATCTATTTTGCCCTCTAGTCACATGAGTCACTTAAGTTTAGTTGACTACAGAGTGGGAGACACTTACTCTTAGAACAGAGCTTTGCTCTTGAGAGTTTCCTTCCGCAGATGTGCTTTAATGTCTCAGATAAATTCTTGTGTGCTGTTTTGATGGATAGAACGATGGCAAACAATTTCTAGTGCAATATAGTTGTTCTCCTGTGCAATCAAGTTTATTTTCATTGAGAACATTACTGTGCAGGTTTTTGGCTCAGCCGGTCTTATAGGAAATCCTGTGGGTTTTGCAAGAAGTTTAGGTCTTGGAATCAAAGATTTTTTCTCCCTTCCCATGTGGAGCGTTTTCCAGGTATAATTTCCCTTTGTTTTTCCCGAGAAACTAGAAAAAGGAAACAGTGATAACTATTTCAAAATTTGCTTTTTCAGAGTCCAGCTGGATTAATGACAGGTATGGCCCAAGGTACAATGAGTCTTCTCAGCAATACAGTTTACGCAGTGAGTGATGCTACAAGTCAATTCAGCAAAGCTGCACATAAGGTACATGGTAGTTGGACTCACAAGAAATTTCATCCGACTCTTTAGCCCAATTTGAACTTAATCTTAACTTGCAGGGTATTGTAGCATTTACGTTTGACGACCAGACTGCGATAATGGTTGATAGGCAACAGAAAGGAATGTCTTCACATAGCAAAGGAGTAATAAATGAATTCCTCGAGGTGCTTTATATCTTTCTATCTTATTACTCTGTCAATTGATATTTACAGTTGTTTGCAATAGCTAAAATTACTTCTCCCCCTTAAATAATTTTAAAGGTTAAATATAGTTAAATAGCTAGACTGGGACATGTTAAAAAAATTCAAAGAAAGATGTCATCAAGCAACTTGATTATGGTGTACATGGAATCATCTTGGATGTATATATGGTATTAATTGCATAGTGACCCAAGTCATTCATAGCAATTTAATTAATAAAAGCTTATATCTTGCCTTAGGGACTTACTGGTGTACTCCAATCACCAATCAAAGGTGCCGAAAAACATGGCCTACCAGGAGTTCTATCAGGTAATGTGCTATTGGGAAAGACGAGTTTCTTTACTTTAAATTAACGTGTTCAACTTTCACTTACTGACCTTTTAAGTTGCCATGTACCACAGGTATTGCTGTAGGTGTAACCGGACTTGTTGCAAAACCAGCAGCCAGTATACTTGAGGTCACTGGAAAAACAGCACAGAGTATCCGAAACCGAAGTAGGATCCACCAAATGGGGTATCGTTGTTTAAGGGTCCGTTTACCAAGGCCTTTGAGTGCGGAATCTCCCTTAAAGCCTTACTCTTGGGAGGAAGCAATTGGCACATTTGTACTCGCTGAAGCAGATATGAAGCTGAGGGAGGAGACATTAATCATGTGTAAACCACTTAAGCAATGCGGTCAATATGTTTTGATAACTCGAAGACTTATCTTAATAGTTGGCTGCTCCAGTTTAGTGGAATTGGGTAAACCGAATTTCGAGGGTGTCCCTTCTGATCCAAAGTGGGTGATAGAATCAGAAATAGGAATGGATGGTGTAATTCTTGCAGACAATGATGGAGAGGTGGTACACATTGTGGGGAGTGGCTCAGATACATCGTTCAGACAGAGTCTTCAAGGAAACGAAGCAAAGGGGAAACTGAGGCACAATTTTCAAGCTCCACTCCCTCTTCTACAGACCAACTTAGAGTTTAACTCTTCAGAGGAAGCAGACGAGTTCTTGAGAGTATTGAGGTGTATGATCGAATTGGGAAAAGAGCAAGGCTGGGGTTCTCTATATATTTTGCACCAGAGCAAAGTATCATCAACTAGGAGGACTTAACAAACTGTGTCAGCTATTGTATATGTTTGTCTGTTGTTTGCTTTGTGTTCTAACTGACCAGTGTTCAATCATAGTGTGTTTTTTGGGGCAGTTTTGTAAATTAGGTTTCTTTATTATTGATTTTCTTGTGGTCCAAGTAGGGGGAAAAAAAGTAAAAAAAGGAGAAAGAGAGCGCCATTTATTTAAATGAAGGTATTGCCAACATGTTTGAGTTTGATCTTTGTTACTTGTCATATAATACACCCCATGCCATGGATTATTTCAAAGTATAGCATATATGTGTTGATTGATGCATGCTACAGGATTTTACAAATAACTAATTTGGAATGCTCTTTGCATGAAACTATACCTGCTCATTTTTTCAAACATAAATTTCAATGCTTTTTAAAACAAACAACTGAGTCCTAGATTTCATCACTTACTGAAAACATATCTAAAGTAAAATTACACTTCTATATCAGATTGTAATATTTTTTTTTATGGGGTAATTACAGATAAATTCCCAAACCCAAACTTAAAGCGCGTCAGTCCGTACAGAGGTTACATAGGCGTATTGGTCTCTAATGCAAAGTTTCACATGCAGTTCAGTCCATAGGGGCAGGTGAAAAGTCTAAAATACCCTTTACATTAATCTATAATTACACTCGTTTTCCTTTTCTCTCTCTTCTATAAAGAATATAACAATACAATATGAATGGACAATATATATTTTATAAATGCACTCACAGTACTATATGCATGAATAACCCCAATTTTACCAGTTTATACATTGTACTTACTTGTAGTACTATATTTTTTGATGAATTGAGTTGCACCAATTTTCTTGACACTTTAATGATCAATTAGTATGGGAGATGCTTAATTTATGTTTTAGAAGAGTATTTTAAGTTTGGTGAACATTGGTGTTACGTTTGGAGTCCAAAATTCCACAAATGTTTTTGATTTTCTACATGATATTCACATATAGTACAAGGCTTGAATGTAGGACTAGTACTTTTCTCAAATCTTACCATAATTAATGTTGATGGACCCCACGTTATCTCATTTTATATAATCTATACTATCTATAAAAGGAGGAATGCTAGGAAGGTTTCTTCTATTTTATGTAGGGACAAAATTATTCCTACATATATTTTAGAGTTTATAGAAATCAAAGGACAATGATTTAATTTAGTTAATATTTCATTCAAAGGTTAATTATACAAGTAACTTTTCATATTAAAAGTGTTTTTTAATATTTTATTTATATTATCACTTCTAAAATAATTTGAAGTTTGAAAATATATTTTATTTATATTAAATTACATTGAGAGAATTTTCTAATAATATATTATTTGACTGGAATTATTTAACTCAAATAACTTATTTATGATATGTTTTAATTTGTCAATATTCAATTATTTATAGTAATTTGAAGAGAATGAAGGAAAATTAAAAATTCACATAAAAATAAATAGATAAAACTGAAACAAAATTCACAACCTATTATTTTAGATACTGAAATGCTATTCATAGTGCGGTTTTTACCGGCTTGCAGTGCGATTTATTTCATTTGTAACTTTCCTTAAAAAAAAACCAAATTCGCCCGCTATTTCGTGTATTATTACACGAAATCCACTCAATAATTTCGTGTCGGTTCACACGAAATATAAGTGTTTATTGTTATAGAACACGAAGGACGAAACCGTTAGATTGAAAAAATTCGTGTATTTCGTGTACGTTTACACGAAATGTGACATTATATTTCGTGGAGTTTTCTACGAAATGGAAGACCATATTTCGTAGATTGTTCCACGAAATATGAAGTAACATTTCGTGAAATTCAGTACGAAATCACTAATTGATTTATTTTTTAATTAACCAATTTATTTCAGACACTCAAAATGACCTAAATGTCAAATACAAATACAAAATGAACTAGAATTCAAATACAACTACAAATTGATCTAAATTTCAAATACAAAATTGACCTAAAAATTCAAATACAAATACAAATTGAACTAGAATTCAAATACAACTACAAATTGAACTAGAATTCAAATACAACTACAAATTGATCTAAATTTCAAATACAAAATTGACCTAAAAATTCAAATACAAATACAAATTGAACTAGAATTCAAATACAACTACAAATTGAACTAGAATTCAAATACAACTACAAATTGAACTAGAATTCAAATACAACTACAAATTGATCTAAATTTCAAATACGAATAAAAATTCAACTAGATTTCAGATACAACTACAAATTGAACTACCGACCAGACTTTAATTGTTCGTACAAGAGTAGTCGGGGTTTGTACGTTTTGAGTAAGTGCCTCAAGTTTTTAGCTCTATGGTGTACCCATGCCGGATGGATTGGTGGTAGTGGACTATTTGCGACCAAATTAACAAACATGAAATGATTGTTGTGCAATGTCACAACAATCATACATGATAAGTGACCACTGCCAAACATAGGAAGGTAAGTCATACTCCCTACTTGAGTCAAAAGTACCACTAATGCACTGTATCTGGTAGCAATGGCCAATCCCATTTCATTCATGTCCATCCAATAAGCTTGTGGACAAGGCCCTGATGTCCAGTCACACTTGCGTATGACCTCAACGTATCCGGTACTGCCAAACATCGCCGTGTAGACACTAGCATGCTCGTATAACTCAATAAGCAACTCCCCTCTCACTTGCGGCCATCTTTCTTGATCCCCGTACACGGCTTGAGCAACGCACCGGTACCCACAGTTGCCATCCGCCATCACGTTAACATAATCTTGAATAAGACGGACCATAAATCTGGGCACGAAAGAATAAAAGTCGATTCCTTCATGTGCAGGTATTGTAGGGGCAGCAGATTCTTGTGTGGGAATACGAGAACCACGACCTTTCATCTTCGATTGAGGCGTTTCATCAGTGCTTCTCTCAACCTTTGTTTTAGGAATCTTTGCACCAGATGAGGTTTGGCGACCCTTGGAACCACAAGACGACTTAATTGTCTCCTCATCAATATGATACTGCCATCCAGAAGGGTCTCTCTTTGTCGAGTTATTCTTTGGTCGTCCTTTGGTCTTAACAAATGATGGCTCGGACAGATGCGACGTAGATGGATAAACGATGCCACGCAATGAGGCCACGGCATTTATCTTACTCGTGTAATCCATCTTCTTCAAATTGCAATTCAGGTCATCAATCTGTCTATCCACAATCTCCTCGCGGTTTACTTGATACTCAGGTAGCTCCGAAGGCTCAACTGCCATGGTACTCCAGAATGGATGCAAGTCTGAAATGACGAACGTGTCATTATCTTCCATTTTCTGCACAATTTTGCACGCGCATGGGAGCCCATGAGTATTCCAAAGATAGTGTGTGCAAATACTCGGATCTTGCATCGCCGGGGACTCCATCTCTTCATCCAATTTCTCTAATGCCAGATGCGTAACATAACAAATCAAACCCTGAAAACACGGCCATGCTGCAGTATGCTTCCTTATCTTGGATGATAATGAAAAATCGCACTTCAGCTCACTAATTTGGATATAAACTTGGTCCCGAAGTTTGCCTTGCACGTTATCCAGACCTCCGGTCGAAGCATTTAACCAACCCTTCGCTGAAGAATGAGCACTCTCTACCCTATCCAATTACAACAACAATCAGAGCATACAACGACAATCAAATTACAAAATAAATATTATTTTTATATAATATCTTTTATCATTTAAATAACTAAAACATGTAATACCTGTTGGTGCTCGTGTTGCCAAAATGATACACATTGCGAGTATAGGCTCGAACAAACTTCTCCTTGTATATCAACCACGTATCATTCAAATACTGTATCAGCCTAGGATACCCTGCATACCGTCCAACAATTTCATTGTAATTGTAATGATACTCTTCTTCGGTTTCTGATTTCACCAGCTTAGCCCACAGCACACGTCGGAATATTAGACCTTGGTCCTTGTTGCCTCCCATAAATTTCGTCGCATTTGCCTCAACATTTCTGTTTATATGGAATATACACAACATATGATACGAAAATGGGAAGACATTTGGCAGTGCTTTCAAAAGACCCAACTCTCTGTCTGTCAAGATCGCATCAGGTTCGACACCATCTAGCAACTCTTTCAAACAATTCAAAGTCCACTCGTAGGTGTCTGCATCTTCATGCGACATAAATGCAACAACAATTGTATAATTCCTCCGAACTGGAGTTATCCCAATTATTTCCAAAAGAGGCATTCCATACCTACAACAATGTTGTTTTTACATATTTAAACAATACAAGACATTAAAACACAAT